GAACCCTATGTCCTTCTTGCTATGGCTTTCGTTGTTGTGCTCGCAGAACATGATCAGTTTGAGGGGAACTTGCTGTAATATGGACCATGTGATACTTTTCCCGAATCCCCATAAGGAACATCAGAAATCTTCTCACACACAGCCGGGGGAACAGCAATACGCTGAGAACCTGGGAGGACCGAGGACTCAGCTGCGCGCATGCGCGTGGGGGGGGGGGAACCTACGGGTGCTTTCCCTCGAAGCTGCAAGCAAGCAAGCAAGCAAGCAAGCAAGCAAGCAAGCAAGCAAGCAAGCGAGAGAGAGAGAGAGAGAGTGTGTGTGTCACAGCCATCGCTAGGTAGTGACCCAGATGTGACGATACGGTGTGGCACAGTTGGATCCTGGGAGCTGCTGGAAGAGTATGAGTTATTGGACGATGACACCATGAAGTTCCAAGTTGGAGAGATTCTGGACAAAGAGAACTTCACCTCCGTGTGTCCGTACTCGACCATTGCCGTAAAGGCTGACTTGATCAACATGCCCTTTTGGTCTAAGCTCTCGGATGATGAGAGGGCGATGTTTATGATCCTTGCGCTGGGTTGCTTCGGCTCTCTGACTGGCCTCGCTTGCACCTACTTCCTTTCTCCATACGTTTCCAACCAGCCTGAAGAAGAATCGGAAGACGAAATGGTCGATGTCGAGCCAGTGCATGGTGACGATGAGAATCCCAGCCTGCGCCGCTTCAACCTGCTCACTGGGGAGGTCGAAACCAGCGAGCGTCACGGTCGCACAGGCACCGGCCTAGTCTAGCTGACATCCCCTGTCGCTCGTGCGACTCGGGAGTCGTTGTTTCCCTGGGCAAGTCTTCTTTACCTCAAAGAATGTCCTGCCCGCCAGGTGCACGTCGGCAGCGCCAGCGCCGCCGCAAAGGTGCCGCCTCACGTTTGGCGAGTGCAATGGAGCGACGGGCTGCTTTGGCTGTGGTACCGTCAGGATTTTGACGAGAACAAACTCGTAAAAGCCAAACCATCTTGCGACACCTGGGTGAAGCTGCATGATGCCCTTGATGCTCGTTGTTGTTGTCGTGCATGTGGTGTCTAACTGGTGTCCAAGGCTAGCAGACTAGCAAGCTGGCTTCAAGAACAAAGTCCACCTGCGACGGGCTGCAGCAACTGCGACCAGTTCGCTTCTCACATTTGCTTCCCCTGCAGTCATCTTTGCCTCTGCGTGGCATGTGCTGAAGATCTGGTGCGCAGCACCGGGCGTGGCTTTCAGGAGGTGTTGCCAGAAGATACTATGGCTGGGCGGCCATCTTGCCCTGTTTGTGGGCAGTTCGTCTTCTGCGTCATCGATGCCAAGCCTGCGAAGGTTTTCGAGGTGCCTGGGCCTCTGGACATAGCGGTGACCGCCGCTGCCGCGGCTGCTTCGTCTCTTCGGAAAACGGCTGCCACTGCTGCAAGAGGCACATGCTCGAGCTGCTTTCCTTAAGCAGCTCAATGCGGGGAGGTTGTAAGCAGTGGCACATGCTGATCTGGGAAGGGAACTTGTTCGGATTCGACAGGCCTTGGGGAGAAGCATTGAAGTAAAGCTGAACAGAGTCTTGCAGCTCAGCAGGTGCAGCTGACGCAGCTTCGCGACATGCCGCTGCCGTCTCGCCAACAATGATGGGAAGGAGCAGGGCTCAGACAGGCAGTTGTACTGTAATGTACTGCACCGCATCTAGAGACGTCCAACATCGCCATCTACCGAGGGGGAGTTCGCTTGTTGCGAGGTCTGATGATGCTCGCGGACCCCATACAATGAATCAGCAGTAGGTTCAGTAGGTGGTGCTCTTGAAGCCCAGCGGAAAGTTGCCACGACCAATGACCAGACATGTACGCTTCGGACTGCTTCGGGCCAAGGCTTCACGAGTTTCTGACTGTCGCCCAAAATGTTTAAATGCACCGCCTTTGACGGAGTGCCCAGAGATATCTGCGAACGCAGTGCCCTAGACAGAGTTGGACCCCCGCCGGGTTGTTAGGTGCGGTTCGTGGAGATGCCACATTGCCTGAATGATGGCACCCCCTGTAATAGCACTACGGAATTCGAAGGGTCAAAGTGCACTTTGCCCTGCAACCGAGGTCATGGCTTACGCCGCTTTCGAACCCTTGGTGCATGATGCGAGACCACAAATCGAGGTGCCAAACGACGCATGATATGCAGTGACTGAGTACAGGTGCTGGTGCCAGTCTTGTGATGGACATGACATGCAACCTGGTTGGGGGCTGTGGGGGGGGGGGGGCAGGGCGGGCAGAAAATGAAACCGCAGCTCTTTGAGTTCAAGTCCTTTGTCGACCATGAGCTCCAGCATTGCAACCTGCCTTGATCGAAATCCGTCTCTTACTCCAGTTCCTAGCGAACGAATGGAGAACGCGTAGAGCGGCCATGGCTCCCATCAGATGGAGATGGAGTGCCGCAGCACGCCAGGCAGGGCCCATTAGTTTGCATCTTTTCTACGCATGTCAGCAGTGGAGTCTATTCATCGGATCGCGCTGTGAAGAACTATGCTGAGCTGATTTGCTATTTGGGTTGTTAGAGGTGTCCCGTGGTGCTGGCAGTCTCGCCTCATGTCGGCGAAGACTGAACCCAGGCAAGGGTGCCTTGTGGTGCCATGTTCACTGTACCGACACAGCCTTCAACACTGCGGTAATACGTTGGATTGATCATTCGGCCTGTAGTTGCTACGTGGACGGCAGCAGCCGTTACTGCATAAGGTGTCGTGCACCAGACTGGTCGGAGCTGGGGATGTTGGTGCCTAAGACCCGAGGACTCGAGACGGCATTGCCTGGAACCCGACAGCGGCCTTGCACTGCGAGGTCAGCTCAGGACGTTTGCGGCGACACCAGGTGCGAACTTCGAGAATCAGCTGATGCCAGAGGACTGTAAGCCGGCTTTCAAGCACCCTTGTGACCGTTGCGTCGTAGCGTTGCTTGAGTTGCTGCGATGCTCAGGACATTCTGCATCTACGTGCCATGTCCATGACCATCATGCAGGCCGTGCTGCAACGTCATTGTTCGAACTGATGTTCGATGCTGCATGCCACGAGACTTCTTGAGGATCCCATCTGTGAGCTCAAAGCTGAAGAGGCAGTGACACAAGTGGAACTGGTAGCTTAAACTATTAAAGGAGTTAACGTGTGGGCATTCATTTGCAGATTGGGATTCGGATCTTTGCTTGCAATTGGCGGTGGTCCTTGGTCCCTCAGCGAAAATGTTACAGATCGAATCTACTCGTCTCCTTAATGGCCTGTTGTGGCCGTGGTAGTCATGGCCATGATTTCAAAATTCCCCCACCCTTTGCCATGATTCGAAAGAGGTGGAGCGCTACGTTCTTGACCTTAGTGATCCCATCGGCGAGTTGCCACTCTGGCATCCGCGAAGGCTAAGACCTGTGTGTTCGAGCTGTTCGGCAGAAGCATTTGCAGAACAAGCCGCATCAAGTGAGTTCGCCTTGATTAGTCGACTGTGCTACAGCAAATCGCCCGCATCTTTGCATTTTCTTGGCTGACCAGGCTCGCGCACCAGATTGGTGATCCGTTTCGGGTGCGGAAGTTGACGGTGCGGCGGCTTTTCCTGCTGTGTAAGTCGCATATGTGTCCAGCTTCGAAGGGTTTTTCCGTCAGAGCAGGGACTGTTGCTTGTCCTTCATCCGTTCGCTCTGCAAACAACTTGCCGTGCAGGTGGCTAGGTACCACAAGCTGATCTTAGAGCGACTTGATTCCTGGCTTAAGTCGAAGACACGGGCTGCGCATGGCCGAGATAGCTACACTGCCAACATCATGGTTCGTTCGAGGCATGAGTCCATGCATCGGTGACTGCATCTACCGAGGATAACGAACCCCTGCTTGATGCATTCGGCGTGGATGCGGGTTTCAACATGCAGGTCAGCCAACCGTGCAATCCCATGAGCACTGTCCTTTTCATGCCAGCAGATAAATGGACACTACTGTACTGGTTAGCAGATGCGCAGCGAGCGTAAAGCAAAGACTGTACTTAGTTCTAGGCTTGCAATGCATGAGCAGTCCGGCTGAAGACTTTTTCGTTCAATCAGAGTGCATGCAGGTTTGATTTGAAGAACTCTCCGTGCAGAGCGGTTTGGCCTGTAATGGTAACATGGGCAACCCTGTCATCCTGGTGCAGTCCTACTTCATGATCCTGCACGCTTGGCTGATCCACCAGCGTCTGGTACTGGAGGGCTCCAAGGCAGGCCCGAAGGTTTTGGCAAGGCACCGCCAGTCAGCGCATTGGAACCACAGCTGCCGCAACATCCAGACTCCGAGAATGGATTACTGCAGTCATAGCAATGTGCGTGTAGAAGTTGTGCAGCTCCAGCAGGTTTGGCCGGCACGGCAAAACAGAAGTGTAGTTCGTTTAGCACTGTGTGGTCTCCAAAGCCTCTAGTGGACGCGCCATGGCTGTACTAAGCCGCTGGACGGCATCTTTCACCTGCATAGTAGAGAAGTGTCCTGGAGCCAGCCTGACTGAGCTGCGGCATATTGGCGGCCGAGGCGTGGCACGGCCGGTGCAGTCGCCAAGGTACTGGAGAGACTGAGCAGAGTTCAAACCCTTGTGCCATAGCACTCACGATGGCTAGCTTGACAGGAAACTGCGCGAGCCAGATGCTCTGGCCTTTCTTTTTGGCAAGCCGGTGCAGCTGGCCAAGGCATGTGATCAGCAGCGGGGTAAAGCCGATAGATGCCACTTGTGAGTTTGCTAATATATCAGGTGAACTCAAGACGTTTCCAATGTGCGTGGCCTCAGCTACATGACCTGCGTTTAGTCAGCCCTTGAGCAGGGAGTTCTGACAGCAAGGTGAGGAAATCGGCGATTCGCAAGCCGAAGAAACAAAGGCAGGACAAAGCGCAGCAAAGGGCTTGCCGTTCAAAAAGCAAGTTGGGTCAGTATTGATTGTTTGGGTGAGGTACCCACGCACATCAACCTCTCTGAACATGTATCGTACTTTAAACAGAGGGACACTGGCTGGAGAAGAACGTGGGATCAGGCAGCACATGTCAGAGTGCTTTGGTGCACAGGGGCCGGACAAGTGCATTTACACCATACATATCAATAGAAGTGCCATGGCTTTGTGTTGCAGGAATCAAGCACCTGTCCGAGCCCTGGCAAAGAGCACAAGTCTGCAGTCATCATTGGCAAGGGAGCCACTGCCGAAGCTGGTTCGTTGTCGGGCATTGCCAAGGCATGCGAAATGTCCTGCTTTCGTTGGAAGTGGCATGTGATTTTCTTCGGATCTGAACTTGAGCAGTTGCATCTATCACTGTCTCCTCTCTCGACATCTCTTGTTGGTGAATTTTCCCCAAGGCCAAACATTTGCCAAAGAACTAGATCCTGGACCGCTGGATTGGAGATGCCTTGCAGTGGCTCGGCGTGGTTCAGTCCGGGAACTGCCAGTGGCCCTGTTGGGTTTCAGACTGGCTGTGGACTGCAATGTTTCGGCACTTGCACCGAAGTCGAGGCCTTGATGCCAGCAGCGGCCGCTTCACACGCAGGCCTTCTGACAGGCACGATCTAGGTCATGCACGCCGAGCTGAAGTAAACTGTGGCCATTGATAAGGGTTTTTTGAGGTTTTTTGGAGAATTTAGACTGTGGACACGAGGCTCCGTAGCATTTGCATGTGCCGGAAGCCCAGCATCCTGCAGAGCTGAAGCATCACTTCACGTTCTGATAGGCCACAGCCAAGAAGTAGTGCAATTCTACGCGACATTCGCCAAGGTTCCCATTGCCGTACCTTTCTCTGTCCCGCAGGCATTGTCCGGAACTGCTTCGTGCAGGTGTCGGGAAGAGAAACATTGTGGTCAGGTTGCTGCAGACAGCTGGTTGGCCAACAAGCGAGCCCGCGTGCATTGCTGAGTCGTGTCGAGCTGGAGCAAACTTGCCACCTGCTTTGCAGAAGCAGCCCGCATGTAATTGCAGGCGTTTCATCGCGGAGTCGTCATTTCAGCCGTTGGCCTTACTGTGATGAACGATAACGATCGCATCACAGAATGTGGCCAGCTTTATGCAACAATCGAGGTTTGTGCTCAGGGTGTTCTGACATTGCTGAAGCTGTCTCGGGGAGACCTTGTGGGCGGTTTGCTGCGGGCTGAATCATTGACGCACTTGCAGCAAAGGTGAGACTTCGTGAAGGCTGTTTCATGACAGGGCAGCTTGCTTCTGCGTGAGGTATGATGGTGTACTTACTGCGATGGGTAGTTATGCCGTTCAGACAGAAGGCGCACGGCTCTTTGAGTCCAAAAGTCCAAGCGAGGACTATGTGTCTGCAGGAATCCGCTTCTTTCCGACCTACATCATTTGCTGCGGCTTCAACGGGTGAGGGCCCCCTTTTTGTTGAGAAGTCCCGGAGAGATCTCTGTTGGCGCACCCCTGGGCCCTTCGGCCCGCTGCAGGTTGCTTGGATTGCTGCAAATCATGCAAGGCTATCAGGCGCAGCCTTTTTTTTTCCTGTGCCTTGAGATTTCTTGAGGCAATGAAAGCCTGCACACTTGCTAGTGATCGGTTTACGTGTTACTTGCAGGGTATTCCAATGCACATGCTTCCGTGGCTGGCCTGTTCCTCAGAGGCTGGCTAGGAGGTGATTCTCCTGGCTGCGATACCTCCAAGGCCGTGCTGCCACCGTCGATTGCCCTCTTTGGTGCCTATTGCGGGCACCAGCCTCAAGCCTCGCGGAGCTACTGGTACGCCTCGGCCCCAAGAGACTTCAATTGCAGGTGGCAGTTCTGCAAGGAGGTCAGCGCCATCTCTGCGGGGCATACCGGGGCTGGACCTCAGGAGACCTGAGCTTCAGCCTGGGCTCATCCTGTTCTCATCCCTTTTTCCCCTTTACGCAATGAGTTGATCCCAGCAGATGCAAAGTTGTGTCAAGTCGGCAGGACACCTGCTTCGTCAGAGTGATGGGTGCAGATTGGTGGCCCTCCTTCCTCGGGCCCGAGACCTCAGAGCAGACTACGCTTGCGGTTGCGCCGGACTTGCGGTTTTGTGGGTTCCCTAAAACCCTGTGGGACCGTGTGCGTCCTCAGAGCGTCCACAAAGGCCCCAGGTGGCCACGCGGGAGGAACGCTTTACGCAGTGGGGCCGGCCGGGAGGTGCAACTAGCAGAGGGCAACGTCAGCTTCAATGCAATGCGATGCACATGCTTCACGGTGCTCTAATGTATATTCAACATCTGCCAGGAAGGCTTACGTACTAGTAAGATTTCGTAAGTCACCCCAAAGCGGAGATGGCAGGAAGCGTCTCCGGCCAAGGAGGTGGCAGGCCGAAGGGGCCTGAATTGTGCCCTGTTCAAGCCTTGGCATATCAAGTGCTGCTACGAAGATTTGTTTGTGTTTTGCGGGGTAGTTGCTGCTAGTTGAGATGTAGTTGAGAAGCACCGCAGTTACTACAAGTCTGACTCATATGACGACTTGGTCTCAGTCTCGTGGCAGGGACCAGTTCTCGGCTTTCGGCGGCGACGGGCACCGCCTGGGAGAGAACTGAAACGAACTGAAGGAAGCGTTGCCGGTTTCAGAGTTGAGCTCGCAGTGCAAAGAACACTGCTCTTGGCCGGTTTTCAGACCTAGTTACATCGTACTCGTCGCATCACTGGCTCCTGGATCGCAACGGTCCAGAGCCCCAGGTTTTACAACCCCGGGGTCGTTATCAAAGCATGAGCTAGCACAACGAAATGTTTGCACATGTTGGCCTGCAGGCTTTTATAGCTGTTTCTGTCTTTCCGTTAGTTGTGGGTATTGCTTGGTGATGCTATGTCCTGGTCTTCTGCATCAACCTCCGTGCCTCTCAAGTTCGGACGCATTTTGTCAATATCGGCCTCAAACAATATCAGTACGTCTTTTTCACAATCAACGGAAGAAGCGCAAGTTCCAACGACTTTGACCCCCTCAGAGTTCTATTCTTGCCTACTTTTGTTTATCAAATCAATAAAACCTTGTTCGTTGCGGTGGCATTTTGCATCCTGCCAAAGCTGAAAGATATGTCAGGGTAATCATGCCTTGCCGCAACCTTCAATCACGAGGTCTCGCAGGGTGTTGCTTGAGTAAACGCCAAGGCAAAACACACAGGCGGTGTACAGTGTTACAGGGCATTGGGTTTCGTAACGGCTTCAGGCTTGCGGTTGAGAGCCTTGGAACTGCAGGATCATTTGGAGTTTGGATTTTGGGGTTGGGGAAATCCACCGTTGTCTTCGGTGTGCAGTAGTCAGTAGTTCTGAAGGGTCCCAGCTCACTTTCGCGAGGTTTTGCTAAAGATTTGGTAACAAGTTTCGCCGGCGTTTCCTGATGGTAATTTTTGGTAACACCACAGGGTGGCATCTGGCTTTCGGCAGATTTGGGCTCGCACTCGGTGTAATACCTCATTGGTGATCTTGGTTTGGTATGTGCAAGAGATCGCAGCTGATTGCCGACAGATGTTGTCAAGGCTTCGTGAACCCCCCTTCGTATGTTCATAGATGTGTATTCTGTTTTGGTGTGTCTTTCTTTGTCTTTATCTATCTTAATGCCTTGCACGAGTATGGCATGCATGCATTTTACTGGTCTCGGTCTTGTCGTGGCCGTTACTGGTATATAAATATATATATATATGTATGTATATATATATATATGCTGGTTTTGTACTTCCTTATCTTTATCCGTGTCTACCTGTCTGGCTTCACGTACCCTAATTTGCGTACTGTTGTTTTGCTGCAGAAACAGATCCCGGGGGTCGAGACTTCCACGTTCTGGGTGGCTGCAATTGCTCAATGAACCACACATCACGTCGACAGTTTCAGGTGTGACACATGTTACGTTGGCTCCGTTCAGGCACGTAGTTGTGGCGACCGCGCCCATGAACCAAGTTGCACCCGGAGTGCAATTTCCCACGTCGGAGTGTCAGTACCTCCTTTGGGAGCGTGAAGACACCAATGCCCGAGATCAATTGACAGCTGGCAGGAAAAGCAGTGCACCGTTGTCTGCACGACAGGCTGTCAGCTCTCGCTTCGCACTTGGGAGTGTGAGCCAAAGCAGGCCAAAAAGATCGACGAAGAGTTGTTCGAGCACTGCTGGAACATGACAAGGCGCCGGTGCCAGGGCTCGAGATGCTCCAAACGTTGCTGTCCTGACCGGGGGGGACGAGTGAAGTGGGGGTGCAAGCAGTGCAAAAACTCTGCCACTTCCGGCTGGAGGTCCTGGCTCGTTCTGAAGCGTGTTCCCGAGTATAGATTCGACGCCGAACTGCAGAACGTTCAAGAGCGCGTCTCTCAGATTTCCGGTCTTTTGGGCGATCCCACGAAGATGCAAAAAGTGCATCCTCCGGTTAAGACTCTGAGGTACATGCTTGGAGCCTGCATTGCCATGGATAAGGCACTCGAGAGGCTGCGGAGACAAGTGACGTTTCCACTGATTGGAGTGCTGTGACACGTGGAATCGACAAGGCCAGATGTGCTTCCAGCCCGAGTGCAGCAGTGCCTGTGGGCCAACATGTACTCTGGATCTGTGTTGCCCCCAGACCTGCTACAGTGGATGTGGTGCTCTGGTCTATGCCTATGCGTCTATGCGTAGTGGTTCCAGCTAACCGGATCGCCGGACATCCTAAACTTGTGCCACTTGTGCCCATTATAGAGTTGAGATGGATGGTATTCGAGGTCAATAAGGACCACAAGGGCCTGACGCGCCTGACAAAGTCTTGCCCTCAAGCCGGCGCATATCACTACTGTGTAACATATTTTTCCATCGAGTGTTGAACTGGACAGGTACATGCTGCGACAGCTTGGCCTAATGCTTCAGCTGGACTCTGACCGCCGCTACCCCAAAACAACGACTGCAGCATGTTTTGGGCTGGTCAGTATGTTAGACAAGAGTGCGAACTTCCGTAGGATGTTTTGCGCCCCACTCCTACCACGGATTTTCACGAACCGAAGTTGCCACAGAGTTCCTTGGTCATAATCTGCTCGGAGCAAGGCTTCCTCAGCGGTCAATTTGTTTGGGCAGACTTCCCAGGCTGGGTGTGTTGAAGCACTCGATGCGCTTCCTTTTCCTTTTCTGGCCTTTGTTTGTTTAGCAGAGGATATATAGGATGCAGTTCTTGGGATTAAGTGTGGTGTTCAAGGCAGTATGCTAGGTGATCTTTTCTGTCCTGACACCCCTGCAGTTCGCGACAAGCCGCGGAAGCCATTGGCGCTGCCGGAGTGGCGCGCAAGGCGCGGCACCACGGCACCACACGTGTCCGAGTGTTACTTTTCCATGCCTTCTCTGTCGGTGGTCAGGTTCCGAGTTGAAATCGAGGACACGGGATTACTTACCCTTTACATTGCTCAGGGATGGTGCATGTGTTGCCACTTCTCGCTGCAGCGTCCAGACCAGCCAGGAGAACATCGAGCACATGGATCCCACAAACCCCACGAATCCGTTCCGCGACCGGGTTCTGAGCTCGCCAGAGCCGAAAGACAAGCTGGGCAAGTAGCTCATGAGCGTGAAGGATCGGAGGAGTTTGTTCGAACCGGATCCTGGCCCCGATCCGATGATTTTCTCGCAGCTCTCTTTCTAGAGTTTGCGACTCCGCGAGTTCATCTTGTCGCGGCTTGTCTCACGGCCGAGATGCCGTCCTGCAGGTAGCGCTGCCAAGCAAGACGGACAAAAGCTTTCTGGCAGACGACATGCTCTTCACTCTTCAGCCTTTGAGCAGGAGGATGCTCGCGGCAATTCCCGGTGCTGTTGCGCAATGTTGCGCATCAGATGCTCTCTTGATGTTTACGTTCATTTCCGGGAGTACTGTAGCGTTGTGTGCCTTTTGTGAATACAAAATTTCGAGGTGTGCGGGGAATTGGAGCAGCGAGTGTTCAACACCCGGGGCAGGTTTAGCAGACATGTCGCAGGGACATCGCATTGGGGACATCCGGAGCTTCCACATAAGTATTCTAATTCTTCTAGTTGTCCAAAAATTTTCCGGACTGCTTTTTGGCAAATCGCGTTGTCCAGCGCTGTTTTGGCGCAAGCCTATGTCAGTTCCGCCAGCTATGCGCGCTGAGCTCCTTGGACAAGTTGCGAGTAAAGCGACTACTGGCATTCAGCAGGTGCCAAGGTCTTCCCGTCGTGCATTGAAAGCGTAGTGACATAGTGAGAAGTGCAGATTTGAGCAGCTTCCTGCCGTGACAGCAAAGGCGCAGGCTGTTGACCTTTGCCCACTTTGCCGCTTGGAGAATTTTTAGCCCCTGGCCCCCAGGCCGGAAGCGCCACCAGCATGAGACATTTGCTCTCAGCGAGCTCAGGAAAACGTTGATGAGTTCGACCGAATGGGAAAGGCCAGAGGAAGTCGTGCAAAGTCCGCGTGACTTGTATCTGCACCATTAAAGCTCGGGGGCTCCATCGTTCATTCTTGCCCCTGTGTTTCTGGCGGCAAGCACTGCCATATTGCTTTCGCGCAGGCCTTCAACGACTAGGATGTGGTCGTTGCTTGCAGCCTCCTGGCGAATTAGTTTGACGGCTAGACCTGGCTAGATTGTATCCATGTACGTATTGACGAACCGCGCAGTCGACGTTCTGGTGGGCTGCTGCTATGCAAGCGTTCGTCTGAGAAGCTGCATTAAACTTAGCGTCTCGTCATGTCTATGTCTTCCATATTTTTTCGAGCGACGAAGTTCAGCGTGTTGTGTTTCGACCGCATGGTGGAATACATCAGTTTCCATGGAAGCTGGAACCGTAAATATTCGTCTACCCCAGGTGTGGTGCTGTGTGACATGGCCATCCCTGTCAGCTGCCGTCGACGGTTGCCTGCCGGCAGAGCAGAAGTGTAGGTTTGAGCCGCGCATGGACAGATTGCTTCATCGAGTTGAAGTGCTGTGGGAGAGCATTGAAGTGCGCGTCCAGTCGTCAGCATAATGTACAGAAAGCCATCAGTCATCAAAGGCCAAACACTCTGACTCTGAAATTCTGGTGAGATTCTGCGAGCCATACCGTATGCGGAAGTTGCATCAGTACCAATGCTGTCAACAGCAGGCGTCTTGTGGTCGGCCGGGGCTGATATGCTCATGGTGTCGGAGTTCGACAAGCCGAGCTTGACGCTTTGGCTTGACCAGAGAGGGCTCAGAAGGCGTCCGTTACCTGTTTGACATTGTTTGACCGACATGCTTGAAGTGCGTATGCCCAAGGCCACAAAATGCTGCTGGTGCTGCAGTCCTTGGGCCGGCGGTGTCTCGTCTTTGGGATGGAAGGGTCATGAAGAGTGTAAGCTGATCGCAAAAAGCACCTGGGTTCGCACGGATTGTGTGCAGTCTCACGATCCAGACTGTCCAGGGCGAGCATTGGCAGATATGCTTCCGAAGGTACAGGCAGCCCCAAACAGCGCTCAGCATGGGCTCGCGGCAGGCATCGGCAAATCAGCATTTTTTTGTGTAGAAATCCACAACATGGTGCAACATGAATCTTCACACAGTGATGTGACACTCGCCGTGCTGTGATGATGCTCCCTGTGACTGTTTCAGTTTAATCGGTGCGGACTCAGTCTAGTTGGGTTGACTGGTGCGATCTGTCAGGAAATCTTCTGGATAAGTGAATCGGCCTACAGCTATTCTTCTATGAAGCACTGACTGCTCGCAGAAATGTTTCCTTNNGAGAGAGAGAGAGAGAGAGCGTCAGGCTTGTCACAGCAGGACAACATCAACAAACCTGGGGCGAACCAAAGCGCTGCTCGCCATGAATTCAACCGTGACAGATCATCACAGTTGAAGGTCGATTGCATATACACTGCGTGCGTAGGGGGATTCCGATCACTCAGCACCTTTCAGAATCGTCGTGCTGGAAGTCACTCCGCATTCTTCGTGAGGGAGCACCCACTGCTTCCCAATGCACGGTTTCGATCGAACGCTAGGATCGGGAGTCAAGCCTTGCAAGCGCCACGAGAAAGTAAGAACTGGGCACAGTTTCGCCCCGAATGAGCGGGCAACCGCCTTGCCTTCGACTCATTTCAGGGACCAGGAAGATATGGTAATCGAAGTCAGCCATCGCTCACTTTCTCTGGAAGCTTGCATCAGGTGCACACCGTCTCAACGTCTTATCCGCAGCAACTTGTCGACCCGCGCATTGCCACCGAGACACGACGCACTAAGCCACTTGGCATGCAGATTTTCTCGCGAAAGCTGCTCAAACACAGCACGATGTGCAGGCGAATCTTGGGATCGTGCAGGCAATTTCTTCTAACCGCCTGCAATCCAGCAAGCCAGAGCAGCCATGCCTTGTACACACTCGCAGCTGAGCAAAGTGCACCGAGGATGATTTGTGCTCAGATTCTTGGTGGGCTGGCTCTTTGCACAGCAGTGGAGCGAGGTCATGCTTCTTGTGAGGTGCTTCGACATCATGGCAAAAACCAGCGAACTCTGAGGTCGTGAGTGCCATGGTGCCTGTCTTGGTCTACCAGGGCTGGTGGGCGTTCGTCTCGCTGTCGACCCTCCTCCTGTCGCTGACGGTGGTTCAAGTGGCTATGAAAGCTGCGCTGCATGATGGCCTGCCATATCCATACTCTTTGACGGCACCAAGCCAGCAAAAGACCACTAGCAGTCTCTGAGGCATCCTCTTCCCGAGATGCGTAGCATGCGATTTGGGAATATTCTGAGGCCCTCCACATGTTACTGACCGTCCTGACTGCCTTTGCTGCCGGCCCTCCACGTCCGGGCGAATTACGAATGGCGCCCTGCAAACAGATGGCAGCCCTTGTCGGGGGGCTCGCAAATAACGAGCAGAACGCACCACGATGGCTTGAATGCATCCTGCAGCGCAAAGTGACATGGAAAAAGCTTGGAGACTATCTGAGGCGCTGCAGACACTTCCACCTTCGGCAGCTGGTGGTGGCGCTGTGCTGCTCCACAATGTGGCACTCACTCAGGTGGGGCCATGATTTTCGCAAGCCGAACGAGATGACGGATTAGACGCTTCGGCACCAGATTCTGAACCCGGATTCTCGGATTCTGAACCCAGTTGCACCTGAACAAGGCCAGTGTGAGCTTTGTGACCATGCTGGGCTCCTGCACGCCAGTGGTCACCTACTGCTGCTGGGAGGCATCTTATGACTTCTTCCTTGAATAAGCTTCCCCTGGCTCATGAGTTCATCCAGTATTCTACATATATACACAGATAGGTAGAGGTGTAGGTTTAGGTACAGGTGTAGACGGTGCTGACATTATGATATATATATATATATATGTGTGTGTGTATTTGTACGTGTGTGTATATATATATAGATGTGTACATACTTGTATTCAGAATCAAAGCTAAGTATAATAATAAGTGCAGCTGTACCTACGTTAAGACAAACAAGCATGTATGTGAACACATAAACAAAGAGATACATATAACATACACTATTCGTATAACATACGTGTGTGTGTGTGTATATATGTATATATATGTATATACATATATACATACAAAACCAGAGTACCTGCATAACTACAACAGTAGGTACACCTATTCTCACGCATAGGCCTACACATGTGAATGGAAATAGAGGACAGCCGCATAGATAGACCTATAGACACCAGTATAAAGACACATGCAACACATGAGCATACATGTAAATGCAGACAAACAAGTACTTACACAGCTTGCGCCAGGAGGGGATAAATTGCCAATCCAAGATGAGAGAAGTTGTGAAAGTTGCCAGCACGCACTGGCACGCACGTGTCATGGGGGGAGGTTTTCGAGTCAGGCTTGGCATGGCGTGAGAGGCCTGACTCGCGAATGCTTGTGACAGAAAGGGGCAGCAACCGTCCGGGGATTAGGGTTTTAGGCCCAAGGGTTTAGGGGTTTGGATTTACTTAGGGGTTTGGCTTTAGGGTTAAAGGTTCTTTCAAGCTATTTCGCATTCAATAATCAAATCAATGAACAAACAAACGAACAGGCGTATGGGTGTATGTATAAATATAAATATACATATACATCTATATATATATATACACATTCATATACACACATGTACATATGTATACATAAATGATCATGAATCATAAATGCATACCTATACTGTGGCAGGAGGAAAGTTCGTCGTACTCTCGCATGTTCGTCTTGACCTGGCAAGACCTTTTCCCTTACAGACTCCTCCGCCAGAGTCCTTTGTGAGGAACATCACAAGAGATAGTATCAAAGCGTTGGATGAATGCTGCGCGCTGAGACTCTCGTGCTTCCAACCAATCTTGCAGTTTGCAAAACAAAGGCATGGAGCTCGCCGCCGGCAGCCGGGACGCCACCTGGAAGAGTGCGGTTCCCGTCCTCATGGGTTGTTTGGGAGGCCGCGGTCTGGGTTTCACAACAGAGCCTAGTGGGCCTTCCTTTCCCCGCGGCAGAGGCGTCCTTTGTGTCCGCGGTGAGCACAGCGCCTCGTTGCTGGCGGTGGTGCTGGTCCTGTTGGGCTGCACCTCCCGCGGCGTGCTTCCTGACTGCAAGTATGATCCTCAAAGATGTTGATATGCTGCA